ATTCTGATTCTGATTCTGATTCTGATTCTGAGAAGCTGAACCCTTTAAGATCAGCTGTTGTGTGTAAGAGAGCATATGGGGTCAGAATGACATAAGAGTGAATAAACAGTAGCTGATTTTTCATTTTCGTGTGAACTATCCAAATGTTTCTGTATCAGGGGTGTGTGTTTGAGTGCCCTCTAAACAGGTTCTTTCATGTCTGTTTGAGAGATGTACAAAGAGCACAGCTGCTTTGGCACATCTCTAAACCTGAACGTTTACACACACACACACTTTTATGTCTACTGCCATCACCCCGTCTCATCTCACCCACACCAAACAGCCCAGAGCCGAGCAACAACACACTTACTCATAGTTTCATCTCACACTTCAATAGAGAGCTGCTGTATGAGCTAGAGGACTAGTGCGGAAAACTCAATTAAAGAAGACAAAAAGACAGAAACCTGGGAAAATCACTTAACTGAGATGAGACTCTGATGAAGTCCTCACCGTCTGTCACAGAGAAAAATCACAAACGAGATCTATTTGATATCTTATTTACACTCTTAAAAATAAAGGTGCTTCACGATGCCATAGAAGAACCTTTTTGTCTAAATGGTTCCATAAAGAACCTTTAAAATCTGAAGAACCTTTCTGTTTCACAAAAGGTTCTTTGTGGCGAAAGAAGGTTCTTCAGATTATAAAAAGGTAAGAAAGAGATGGTTCTTTAAAGAACCTTTGACTGAATGGTTCTTTGTGGAACCAAAAATGGTTCTTCTATGGCATCGCTGTGAAGAACCTTTTGAAGCACCTTTATTTTTAAGAGTGTACTTGAGCAGAGAGCCTGCTTTTCAGGAAAAGTAATTTCACCTCGGTCTTCACTAGAGTTTCAAAATATCTCAACAATGTCTCAAACTGTGCTCAGAATTTTCAAAGACACATTATATCTCAAACATAATATCTAAAAATTGTAATATCTCAAACACCTCAACTGTTGCGCCAAGACAACAAACAAACTGAAGTCAGAACAAACTGAGTCTCCAGCTTCTCAGATGTTTCTCCTGGGAAAAAGACTCAAGATAGCTCACATGTCTCCTCCAGAGTTTCAGAAGAGATCTCAACAATGTCTCAAACTGTGCTCAGATTTCCAGATACGTTATATCTCAAACCTAATATCTAAAAATTGCTTTTCAATTGCTTTTCCTAGACAATAATGTGATTAAATGGAGAACAAATTGGAAATCTCCTGCTTCTCAGATGTGGCTCCTCTAGTTTCAGAAGAGATCTCAGCAATGTCTCATACTGTGCTCAGATTTGCAAAAATACATCTCTAACATAATATTGAAAAATTGTAACCTGAAATATCTCAATTGTTTCTCCTAGATAACAATGATATTAAATGGAAAACAAATTGAGACTCTTCTGAAGTCTCTTGCTTCTCAGATGTTTCTCCTAAGAAAAGTAATTTCAAATGTGTCTCCTCCAGAGTTTCAGATGAGATCTCAACAATATCTCAAACTATGCTCATTTTGCAAAGATACATTATATCGCAAACAAAATTTCTAAACTTGTAATATCTCAAGTACCTCAATAGTTTCTCCTAGACAACAATGAGATTAGATTGGGAACAAACTGAGAATTGTCTCTTGATTCTCAGATGTTTCAGTCCTAAAAGTGAAAAACTCCAGTAATCTCACATGTGTCTCTGCTAGAGTTCCATAAGAGATCTCAACAATGTCTCAAACTGTGCTCAGATTTCCAGATACATTATATCTCAAACATAATGTCTAAAAATTGTAATATCTCAAATACCTCAATCGTTTCTCCTAGACAAGAAGATTAAATGGAGGAAAAAAAACCGAGTCTCCTGTTTCTCAGATGTTTCTCCTAAAAGAAAAAGACTCCAGTAATCTCACATGTGTCTCCGCTAGAGTTTCAGAAGAGATCTCAACAATGTCTCAATCTCAACTATGTCAAATTGAGTCTCCTGCTTCTCAGATATTTCTCCTGAGCGAACGACTCCAGTAATCTCACATGTGTCTCCACTACAATTTCAGAAGAGATATCAATAATGTCTCATACTGTGCTAAGATTTGCAAAAAAATGCATCTTAAACATAATATTGAAAAATTGCAACCTGAAATATCTCAATTGTTTCTCCTAGATAACAATGATATTAAATGGAGAACAAATTGAGACTTTTGTGAAGTCTCCTGCTTCTCCGATGTTTTCCCCCAGAAAACCCCCAGTAATCTCACGTGTCTCCTCTAGAGTCAATATGAACTCAAACATGTCTCAGCAAATTATCTGAGTTGAAGTATATCGCTATAGTTTTACTGTGACAACTACTTAAGACAAAAACTGAAAACATTAAGTCTTCTGAGCTATTAAAGAACAACCTCTGAGAAATAAAGTTTTCTTCTTGTGCATGATGTAGACAAATTTCATACTGAAAAGATAAACATTATTAGATGTAGCATACAATATCTGAATCCAGCAGACACCAACTGTGAACCTTAATTTAGCTGGTCAATGAGAATCAGGTAATATCAGCAAATAGATTCAAGTTAATAGAATAAAATTTCATTCAATTCAATTACCCTACTTGGATATTCGCTTTGTGAACCAATTTTCTTAATATTAGCATTGTGGGGTGCTGTATTGTTTCGTGGCACATGCTGAGTCGCCCTGGCAGACGGTCTCATTCCCTGCAGTCTTTTGTAATGTACATGCAAATGTGCATTGGTGAAAAACATAAAAATGGAAAGTTAAAAACATACCACCATCTTGTTGAGGGAGACCCAGCAGTCGGAGGGGAAGTCTTGCAGCATGGGCACCAGAAACTGCAGGCACCCGTCCCAGTGGCACAGCAACAGCATCATTGCTATCAGGTTAAAAATCCGCATCACTGCGCTCGCCATGTCATACGTCATATGGAAGATCTGCAAGGGGAGAATCACAACACAACATTTGAAGAAGCTTGAGAAAGTTCAAAAATACAAAAGCCGTTATCTGAGATCAGTGATTTTTTTTCCATGACATTCTAATTTATTGAGATGCACCTGTATATATAACAAAAAAACTCAGAGGACAGATAGCCGTTTAAATTTATTGCAGCAATATGTAAACAACAGATGGAGATAAGCAGAGCTGATATAGCACAGGATGAATGGATGAATACTGAAATAAGGGTGGTTACTGCCTTGCAGGTTGATAGGAAATCGTAGACACGGAGCAGGTGACGAGTTAGTGATGAGCACACACCTCGGCTTGATGTCGAAGAGAGTCTAGGTAAGGGTATACATAAGATGGAGACAGACTGGGGCTTGGAAAACACTGGAGATAGGAGCTTTGGAGTATGACGTGGAAACGCTGATATCAGTCCGTTGCTCAAAGTGAGACCAGACAAAGACTGGCTGCGAGGTGTGTTTATATGAGTTGATTGATGATTAATCCGGTGCAGGTGTGGGTGCTAGAACTGATTGAGTGGTGGAGGGGCCTGGCATGTGTTAGGCATGGGCCGATTACCGTTATACCGTTATTTCCGTTATACCGTTCCTGCAGTATGGGCTGTTTTTCATGTCTCCTCAAAGACTGAAAGTGTAGGAATCCCTCAGGTTGAGTGCAGTGTAGAGAGTAACACAAGCCTCCTCCTCCTGTTGGTGCGAGCGAGCGGTCAGTCACGTGTGTGTAGGATGACTATCATACACTGAAGCAGTTCCGGCGGATGACGCAGCACGTATGCGCAGCGTGCGCGCCTCTGAGGTATGCTAGTCTCGCGAGTTTGTTTATAGAATCAAAAGGAAGCAAAGTTTCCTTATTTTAGCAAAGAAAAACCAGTCTCCTCTTGGTTTATATCGAAATCCTCCGACATTTTTCTTTGCAAATCCTCGGTTTGTACTTCTAATTCGTGACCGGCATTTTGTTCTGTTCTGTTCTCTCTCCACATTCGTCAATAATCAGGCAACGCCGACGTGCTGCATCATCCGCCGGAACTGCTTCAGTGTATGACAGTCAGCGGAAGTGAGAGAAAAGTGTTTATTACATTTGAAATATGGATATTTTTCTTACAAAAACATATGGATTCGCTACAGGGGGCCTTTATTCATCCCCCGGAGCCGTCTGCGGCACGTTTTATTATGAATGCGCAAGCTTTATTTGACGACTTGTGGACTGTTCAACTGCAACACCCGCTGACTGCAATGATAGAATTTTTAATATAACTCTATATGACTGGATTCATCTGAAAGAAGAAAGTCATATACACCTAGGATGCTTCGAGGGTAAGTAAAACACAGTCTAATTTTCATTTTTGGGTGAACTAACCCTTTAAGGAGCTTCCCCTGGAACTTACGCGATCGGCAACCGGCTGTTCTTTGTCTTATTGCAACTCGTCTCTGTTCTGGACTTGCACAAACTGCGTTGCAATGCAATCATTTCCCAAAATGTAATTTATGTGAAAATATGAAGTCTGGAAATGCCCATTAACACAGGCAGAGACGCTGAAGATGGACGCACAGAGAAAAATACTGTAGCAGGCAGATCACTCACTGTTCATGATGCACAAACTATTGGAAGAAAATCCTCAATATTGCTTTGGGGGTTTATATGAATGTGTTTCTGAGGGGAACTGACTGTCTTCAGAAAAGTTTACGTGGTATTTTCTTTTCATCTCGTCTCTGTATAGTTCATATTAAAGCGGTGTTTCAGCGCAGCGCTGCTTTGTTTACGGCGGTAAGCTGTATCTGGTGTTCCAGAAGCGCCTCCTGCTGTCAGAGAGTGAATCTGCCTCTCATTCAGAGCATCTGCTGGTTGATTCGTTCAGGCAAGTAGTATAATTTCACAAAGCTAGTCAGAACATTCTGTTTTTGTTTCAAATTGGGTTATTATTAAATCAAATTATGTATATGAAATTATATAACTAAATTATATGAAATGATATAAATGATATGTATATGAATTATATAACTAAAATTAAATAACTGAAATGACAGATTTGGGCTATATAAAGACGTCAGTCTTTTTTCTTCTTTTTAGAAAACAAATCAAAGAAACAATAAACTAATTCTACTGTTCCTAATATTCTGTATGTTGCTCAAAAACAAAATATATTGTGTTCAGCGGAAAAAAAAAATTTGTTTTACCCAGTCATTTAAAAATAACACATTTTAGAGCTGTAACGGCGTGATACCGTGAAACTGTGATATTTTTGCTTACGGTTATATCATACCGTCAAAATCTCATACCGGCCCATGCCTATGTGTGTGTGTGTGTGAGTGTGTGTGT